TCCGTTTCTAGCAGTAGAAGCAACGGAATGCCCAAATAAATAGCTATGGTTATTGTGTAGCTGCACTTGACAAATATGGGACCTCTCACTAAGAGAGGAATCAGAAATATTCCACTGAATTTGTATCAGGCATAATTTTTTTCTTTAAACCTAATTTTTAAAAAGCACGTTTTCTCTGTATGTGCAGCAGCATTCATGTAAATTGTGTCAAGACCTAAATTATGAATAGCCTTACATTTCAATTTTTACAAACGCAAAAGAAAGCTCTTTCTGTCCTGACCATTTAGTTAAAAGAATATTGTGGGTCCTCTCAAGAAAAACGGTCATAGTTGAAGGACAATGCTACTTTCACCATGCTGCTTTCTTTTACCAGCATGTTCAGAGTAAATATGAACGTGCTTATTCTAAAAACACTTCCAGGTTCTTCATACATAATGAAATGAAGTGGAGCTGCTATGTTCTTTTCCTTCACAAGCACGAAGAGTTCATATGAGCACAGGAATGCAGAGAGCGAGACCCTTTGAAGCCATAATTTGTATGGCTTTCTAATTGTAAAATTGAGAAGTGTGACAGGCACAGGCATGTAAGAGCCCTCGGTTCAATGATACATCCTGGTATCTACGCAGGAAGAAGAGCTGCATTTCTGATTTTTCTGAAAATCTGGCTCGTGGTGGCCCTGATTCAGCGAAGCACTTAAGCATGTGCTTAAGAGCTTTGCTGAATCAGGGCCAAAATCATGTACTCCTGCCTTCTCCTCGGTGCAAGTTGTTCCCTGTGGTGCATTCTTAAATGCTTTGTCCTGTCTCGTTTTAAATGACTCAAGCACTGTCAGGGTGTTGTTTGATTTGACTGTTATCTTTGGCCAGCTGTTGTCTTCTTCTCTGGTTTGGGGGAGACTTCTGGGCCATTTTAGTAACATTTGTGCATGAAAAGAAGCAAAAGCTTGTGATAGGTGTGTTTTTTCTTTTATATGATTAGACAAAAATGCAGTGAAATTGTATTTAAAATATTGAGATGGTCAGCACTCCTCACCAAGGAACTCTCTTTTGCATTTTGCATGACAGGGTCAAGCTTAAAATAATAAATTATAATGGTGTAAAAGAGAATATTGAAACTACAGGCTTTATTTTCTACTACAGGTCCTAATGAAAAATATCATATTGAAGTGGCTCCCTTTAGGAAGTTGAGCATTTCTTAGTAACTGAAAAGCTAACTATTGCAAAAGCCATTTTTCACAACGGCAGAAGTGTTCGACATTTCAGTTACTCTTTCCTGCTTTTGGGAAAACTAAATTGATACTGACAGCGTAACCGTGCTGCTAGAGAAGGTGCAGCCTGGATTTCAGGAGCTCACGTTTTTGTTATTAAGGAGCGGCGGTTGTTCTTGCTGTGCAACTATCACTGAATCGGGGCCACTCTACGTTTGTGAGACACTGAGAGCCAGTGCTAATCCTGAAGGTGTGTGCTACTCCACACACTAATTCTGCAATTAATAATGGATGCCAACTGGTTCTCTTTTCTTTTAGCTGTATTTTTATGCGATGTTTGCTGTGATGAGACTACGCTTCAGCCGTATTTTTTGGTGTGAAAGAAGAAAAGAAAAGGAAGTGAAATGGTTTCAGCTTGGCTGGCTTCCAGCCTCATGGCAAAGCATGGCCAGTTTCTCCTGGTGGGGGACTTTTTCCAATTATTTCTTGGTCTAAAAGAGTTTGTCACAGGCATGCTGAGCTTTGCTAAGTTCAGTAAGCTATGCTGCTCTCACCAAACATTGTCTGTGCACAAACCAGTTGCTGCCCGTAATCAAATTCTTCTTGAAGTAATACAGTGAGATACTCAGAGCTATCTGAATTTTGTAGTTATCAAAGTATCTTTTTTTATGGTTACTGAGCAACATGTATTAACCAGAGTGCACCCCAGCTGATGTTTAGCAGATGTTATGGTGTTGCTGGAACCTCTTTGGTCCAGTAATGGAAGAATATGTTTTTGTTTTGTTGCTTTGGTGTTTAATTTTATTGAGGTTTTCTTTATACATGCATAATCTGTGTGTACATATGTGGACATGCATATAAAATTGCATGCCTAGGGTAGGGAAGGAAAGAAAAATGGAGAATGGTTTCATTTATGAAAAAAAAAGAAAGGGCAAGGGACATTGCAGAGAAAGGACAAGGACAGCAGTAGGGCACCGTAGCTGTCTCTAGACTGAGAATGAGAGTGGGAAGGGAGGAACCACTACATGTGGTAAGTCTCTGTGTGCTGCAACTACCACTAAGCTTATGTGAGAAAGAAAGAAGCCACATGGACACCACGGGACATCTGCTTCGCACTGTCTGGTGCTAGGAGATGCAATGAACCTCACGTGTGTTGTCACCATTACCTCACTGCTGGTGGGTTTTAAGGCTGCTCAGCCTTTGCCCTATTTTCTTTTTTTCCTTTGTCCACATATGATGCACACAGGGAAGGAGCCGCACAGATCTGGCTTCCCCAAACAAGGGTGGTAGGACCAGCCACTCCTTAATGAAAGGAGTAGGGTTGTAGGTTATTATGTGATTTGTGGGCACGACCACAGCACGTGAGTTATGTTAGTGAGATGCAATTCAAGATAAGAGATTACTAATGGTGAATAGAGAGGGAAGAGAAGATTTGGGTCATGCACTTGGGTCACAACAGCCCCTACGGGCTCGGGGATGAGTGGCTGGAAAGCTGCCTGGCAGAAAAAGACCTGGGGGTGCTGGTCGACAGCCGGCTGAACATGAGCCAGCAGTGTGCCCAGGTGGCCAAGAAGGCCAACAGCATCCTGGCCTGCACCAGGAATAGTGTGGTCAGCAGGAGCAGGGAAGTGATTGTCTCTCTGTACTCAGCCCTGGTGAGGCCACACCTCGAGTGCTGTGTTCAGTTTTGGGCCCCTTGCTATAAGAACATGGGGTGCTGGAGCATGTCCACAGAAGGGCAATGAAGCTGGTCTGGAGAACAAGAATTATGAGGAGCATCTGAGGTAACTGGGGTTGTTCAGCCTGGAGAAGAGGAAGACCTTATCACTCTCTTCAACTGCATGAAAGGAGTTCTCTCAAGTAACAGGTGATAAGACAAGAGGAGGGGGTTTCAAATTGCATTAGGGAAGGTTTAGATTGAATATCAGGAAATCTTTTCACCAAAAGGATTGTCAGGCATTGGAACAGGCTGCCCAGGGAAGTGGTGGAGTCACCATCCCTGGAAGTGTTTAAAAGATGAGTAAACGTGGCACTTAGGGACGTGGTTTAGTGGTGGAGTTGGCAGTGCTAGGTTAACGGTTGGACTCGATGATCTTTTGCAGCCCAAGCGATTCTGTGATCATTGGTTATATTTTTTGCAGATAGAAAGACAGGATGTGCAAAAGGATTTGAGGTACAAAAGGGCAATGGCTTCATGGTTCGGAGCATGCATAAAATGGCAGAATAACAGAAAGTGTGGAAGTACTAAACAACTGGCTAATTAAGCTATATATTATTTGGGTACTATATAAATAATCTTATATAACACAGTCACAGCAGTTTCCAGTCTGTTTCCTTGTCCTCTGGGCCTAATTCCAGCTGAGAAGTTTCTGGAGCATACCACAGGTCCTTTGGAGTAGGCTCTTATTTATTATTACCTTATAACGTTGCTCAAGTGTATTGCAGTAAATAATTTACTAGTGCTAGGACTTAGGTGGATTACATTTAATAAGGCAATAACTTCTGTTCTGAAAGTGCAGTTGCTGTGGATGACCTCAAGAGATAGGGTGAAGGAGGTCACAGGGTAACATAATCCTGTAACTTAGCAGAACACCAAGTATTGTTTTATGCCTTCAAATGCATCACAATTACACAAAAGAAAAGACTGGATGAACAATCCCAATTGTGTAATGCAGTGTTGGGGTATTATTTTAGTCGAGCAGCGGGAGCAGCTGGTAAGTACTAACGAACAGAATGGAATTGAAAATTGTATCATTTCCACGGCGTGGCATTAAGGAAGCTTCGTGGCCTTTGTGGTACAAAGGGTGAGCGTTCAGCTGCATGCTTAGCTTCACTGACTGAGCTCAGTAAAAGCTGGGTATCACATGAAAAATAGACATTTTCTGGGGAAATACTGTACATTTATCAGTAAAGGGTACAAATATAGAAGTCAGAAGAAATCTTCCTAAGAGGAGAGGGGTGCATTTATGAGGGGTGTAAGTTTCTTGAATTGCTGATAGATAGTGTCCCATGGACAAGGATCTGGGGAAATGTGTGCTGGTTCTCATCCTTGTTTTTTCTTTGGACAGAATACCAGTGTACAAATACAATATTAGTTCTTGTTGTTCAAAGTTAGCAACTTCTCTGTTTATCCAGTAACAGTAACTAAAACCATCTGAAAACCGGTTAGCAGCTAGCTGACTAGGGCATGTCATGCTGGTAAACACGTGGGGCCAAATACCTCGGCTGCGATTGTCCAAATCTGTGGAATTACACCTGGATTTGCTTCCACATACAAAGCAGAATCTTCAAAGATGTCTGGGTTGCAGTAAAAATGCCTGGTTACCAAGGTGACACTCAGTCTTACTCCTTAAATAATTGTTTTATCTTGATATTTGCGGCTGAAGGTGCAAACTGCGAGCTAGCCCAGGAGCCTGCAAACTTGCTTTTCACTGAGCAAAAAACCTGGGATCGGGCAGACCAATTTTCAAAAGATTTTCTAACTGGTGTCACTTTGTCCAATCCATGTACTCTTAGCAATTTCCAAATAGCTTATCTATCAAAATAACAGTAACTAGAGACATGTCTGTGGTTAAGTGGCTAGAGTAAACTCAAGATCAAAGAAATGTACCACCTCACATACCTGTTTACATTTAGGAAGATTTAAGTCGGAGTTCTCTGTTGATACTAAAAGCTGGGAAGGTCACTGTGTCACTTGTAAAAGTTTGACCCACGCACATTAAAGTAAAATATGATCGCTTTCACAAAAAAGTAACAAAAAGTCTCAAAGTCTAATTCTGCTAATCTTAGTAATATATCAAAAGTTACATTAGCTTATGAACATTTCTGGCAGTGGAAGAGGATATAAAAATGATCTATTGAATACAGGCAGTTTTTATTCTCATGAAGTCCATCTCAGGCTTACTTGAAAATCTCATTTCCATAACAGCTCAAGTCTTCTAAAACGGATGGATTTTACTCTAAGCCCAACATTTTCGGTATTGCTACACAGAATGAGCCTAAATTAAACTAACTTATCTAAAGCATTTAGTGGAAGTAGTTGCAAGATGAAAGCGTGCTGTCAAGTTAAGTGATTTAAACTTTTAAAAAAGTAAAATACATTAAAAAAGGGAATTTGAGATTTAACTTAAACTGAAGCTAAGGTATTGTTTAGCTAATTGGTTGCATGTTAAAAAGCTGTATAAGAAGGGTGGGGTACAGTCTGTAATCCAAGCAACATTCAGGTCCAGTAGTAAGATTTTCTCTTATTCTGGGATATGAATCTTCACTAATTACTAGGGTCTTGTGTTTTTTCAGGTGCAATCGCTGGGATTGTGGATCAGCCGATGCAGAATTTTCAGCGAGTGTCTGAGGCCCAAGCTTCAGCCGGGCACAAAGCCAGAGGGGTCATCTCGGGTGTGGGGAAAGGAATCATGGGCGTCTTCACAAAGCCCATCGGAGGGGCAGCTGAGCTCGTCTCCCAGACAGGTTACGGTGAGTTTCTCTGTTTTCAACAGCTCCGTTCAGATTTTAAAATGCTCCTCACATACAACCCGCTATGTCTTATTTATCTAGCTCCGTAGCCGTGTGACTCAGAGAAATATCTAGAAATGCCACCGCTGAATATAAATGTTATGCTTGAATGAATTATATGAATTATAAATGTTGTGCTTGTTTTCTTAAAAGCCATCATGTTGTGCTTCTCTCTTGTGTTACCGATCAGCATTGTACAGCCACAGAAACACAGAATGCAGAAAGTATGAAGTAATTCTTGGAATACAGGAGAATTAGTTACAGAAACATATGTGCTTACAAAAGAGTTTTTGACGTAAAAGTATTAGAGCAACACAACTATATCCAATTAAAGCATTATTTAGAGATTGCTTGGTTATGGCAAGAAAAGAGCTGTGCTATCTCTGCACAAAGAGAGTTATGTTCCTGGGAGGAAGAAGTGAGTCATGTAGTGGGACCATCCTCTGTAAACCGAAGAGTTGTGAGAAGACAGTCCCATTTTTGGATACATGGGTAACCTTTTAATGACCAGAGGTGGGTTTTACAGCTCAACTGATAACTCAGTGGCAGTGATGGTGAGTCCTTTCAGATTGATGTGACTACTTCTGGACAACTGAAAACTGTAAAGGATAAAAAGGTGTCAGTAATTTTGCTTCACTAATTATACCAGACAAACCTTGAAGATTTAAACCTTTAATCGCTGGCAGTATTTATGTCTGTGATGTGTTGAGTACAGTACAAGTAGTTCTCCTAGGGCTTAAGTCTAGGATATTGTTTCCACACTTCCCACTACATTCAGAACTCGTTCCTTGAAGCAGTCTATTTAAAGAAATAATGAACCATTTAATCATTACAATTCTTTCAAATTAACTTTAGCTTGTTCATATGAGTGTACATAATAACTGTTCTCCTGAATTATGCATCCCATAGGTGTAAAACCCGTATCGACAAAATCAGAAACTTTTGTCCGTTGTCAGCTGGCTGTGTGTTACTCTTGCTGCTTGTGGCATCATTCTTTCTAGGTTTAATTCCCCTGCAGTCTTTATCAAGAGACTTGTTAACAGCAGAGGGACGCTTTTCATTGCAGACATGGTATACAAGACACTGTGTTCTCCATGAGCATGTGACAAAAAGAGTCAGCCAGGAAAAAACATAAAAACTGTATCAATAATAGCTGACAGTGCGTGAGAGGAAAACACACAAGAGTTCAAGTAACTCTTACCCACAACTGGATTGGAAGTGGGACCATGCCTCTTGGGGGGACCGAGGGGTGGGGGACCACACAGAAATAAACACATGTTCTCTCTTTCTCCATCTGTAAATAACATTTTCACTCACATAATGCTGAGAACCTCGGTAAGCCAACTGTTACAACTGGGATGCTGCTTTTAAGTATTACCATCAACATGTGTGCTAAAAATTAAAGGGTTTTTTTCAGCACTGGTGTTTTGTTTAAATTATTATCCATTGTGTAAAAAGGAATCTTAAGTTATTGACACCCTTATGCAAAAATGCCTTTTGCTTCAATGGAATGCTTAATTAGACAAAATAAAATTACTTTGTTTATTCAAAGAGTAATTTTGCACTAAACCATATAACACCAGTGCTTGCCGCTTAAACTACTTCCTGTCTGTCTTGTAAAAATTCTTAAAACTACCTAATTTGTGAAATTTTTTGCGACCCACTCATTCTTTCTGGTGACCATACCTCATCTTTACAAGTTTACAAGCCATCTGAAAGCATACATACGGTATCATCTTCAGCTTTGGATAGTCTATTTGGAAACCTGTTTAACTGCTTCTTGTAGTCTCCGTTCTGTGCTGGCACTAAGGAGAATTCACAATAAACCAGATGCCCCGAGAGATCTCATAAATGTATACGGATCTGTGTTTAACAGCTGGATTAAGTAACTGAACATTTAAATACAGTATCTAGGCAAACTTGCCTTCTAATTTGTACTGATTTTGACACGTATATGGAAGTATTTTAACATTAAGCAAGAAAGTTAACAGCAGTCTTGATTTTTTCTACATAAATCCTAAGTGATGTGTCCGGTTCCACTCTGAAATGATCGTTCTCAGGAGCATTGTGTTGCTCTTGATTGCAAGTGTATGGCTGATTTTTAGAACACACAGCAGGGTTTTTTTTTTGTTCCTTGCTAATGCAAGATCACCAGGGTTAAGTGCACAGCTTTGCATTGTAATATTTAATGAATTATCTTGACTACAGCTTCCAAAGATGTGACATCATTTTGGAACTGCACTATTTTATGAACTGCTCTGAACAGATGACATCACTACAACTTGTAACTGTTTTGTAGAAAACAACTACTAAAAAACTTAAATTCTCTTACCACAGGTATTTTGCATGGAGCTGGACTTTCTCAGCTTCCCAAGCAGCGCTCTCATCCAAATGATCAACATGTTGAGCAGGCTCCAAATAGCCACGTCAAATATGTCTGGTAAAATTATTTAGACACTTGCTCATTTTTACATCCACATTGTTTATTAATAGGTTCTGGCCTGTGGTCAAGAGAACAGGCTGCTTCCCTAGGAAAGGCTGAGTTATGGCAGTTTGTTTAGGAACATTAAACACAAAGGTAGTGCATAGAAACCCAGTCTGCAAATGATGGGCTGCTGATCTGCTTCCAGCTTTGGAACTACAGAGCTGATCTTTATTTAATGGCATTCAGTGAGTTCTTACTTATTGCTCGTTGCGCCGAGCCCAAGAAAAATACTGCACATCTCCAGAAACAGCTGTTAGTGAAGATAGCTTTATTTTCTGCGCAGAATTTGTAAGCTACTTTTCAGGGTAATTTTTCTATTAGGATGGGAAATAGGCTTACCTAGCACAGTTATTAGGCCAATTTTGCAGTGAACGATTAAAGCGTTTTGATAAATAGCAGTTTCACATTTAGTCTTTAAATCTTTAAGTCTTTTGGTAATAGAGATTTGGAATATACTCCCTGGCTTATTTTATATTTGTAGGTGATAGCTATAGGTTTAAGTAAAAAATTAGTGATCAGAAAGATGTCCTGGAGGATCCAGTGCATAACAGTGACTACTTCTTTTTTATTTCTTCTTTTTTTTTCTTCTTTTTTTTTTTTCCCCTTGATAATGCAGGAAAATGCTGCAATCTCTAGGAAGGCCAGAGGTTCATATGGCCTTAGACGTCATGATTGTGAGTGGATCAGGCCAGCAGCATGAAGGCTGCTTGCTGCTCACCTCAGAGGTGCTCTTTGTGGTCAGCATCAGTGAAGACACGCAGCAGCAGGCATTCCCCGTGACTGAAGTCGATTGTTTCGAAGATGATCAGCAAAAAGACCTGCTGAAGGTGCAGCTGAAACAACAGAGAGTGCCTTCTGATTTGGAGGTAAAGAGTTGAGTACAAATTTCATTCGATGATAAATTTACACTGATGATGATGCTTTTGGCAACGGGCATGCTCACCTTTGGGTGGGGACGCCAGAGGTCTAAGTGCCAAACCAAGAGACCTGATGTTTTCACGCACCTCAGAGTTGGCTGTGTTGCCCTTTGGATGAAAGGGACATGCCTCTTCTCTTCTCTCCTCTCATTGATCCATTTCATATCCATGACAGCAAGTTAGAGAGGGAAAAAGTAGAGGAAGTCTGGGTTCTTTGTACGCACCACCTCTTTCCTGAAGAGGTTCTCGTGACTACATGTGCGTGAAGAGTTTACTGTTTGCACGTCAGCATTGCTGCCGGTGCCTACAAAGTCACAGCAAGAACAGCTCCTTGTATTCTTCTGTGAATTCTGTTTTAACCATTCAGTGATGCTGATGCCTGCTCCTCTCAGCGTGTTTCTTGTCTTGCCACTTCCAAGTGCAGTGGTCTTGCTTGGCTGCTAGCTGTACTTTCTGCCTTAGATCTTCCTTCTGCAAATGCTGACTTTAAAATGGATCAGTTCCTTTGCTGAGACTGGATGAACCCAGTGTTTGCCAGTAAGAGCATAAATCCTTCATCTTCATTTTGAAAGATCTCTAAGCCATTTGAATACTGAGGTTTTGGAGGAATTATCGTCTTCTAATGGTAGAAGAATGTTATATTTTTACACTTTTGGGAAACAGTGTTTACTGTATTGAATTCTCAAGTGGAATTATATGAGAGATCATTTCAAAAACATACATGCACATCCCAGTTGTCGTTTTTCTAAAAGTGTGCCAGGTAGTTTGTAGACTGCTCTACCAGAAATTTCTCCATTTCAAATATACGAAAAGAACATATGTAAAACCCCATGAAGTATGAGGTATACCAAAAAGTAGGGGAGACTTTACTTTCAGTAAAATCCTAACTTTGCTGAAGTCACTGAAGAGTTTTGCTATTGATTCCTGCACAGCAAGGACTTAATCTGTGTCATGACAGTGCTTGGATTGTTTTGTGGAAGCTTTTTTTAGTGCTGAATTCTCTATTTACATTTATTGTCTTTCCACTAACCTCAGTCTCACAGAGTGCTGTTGACTGAAGTTGCCTTCCCTTACCACAAAGCTGCATGAGGCATTAGTTAAAGTTTGATGCAAGTGGGCAAAGCTCAGCTTTTTTAATGCTGTGTGGTTGCTGGAGGCACACATCAGACTCAATCCAGACTACCCTGCTCAGTCCAGAGCTACTGTCCTGGAGGGAAGAGGAAGAGAATTTGTTCTCCCTAGGGTATTTGATGTACTCAACCCATTCTAACCTTACCTTTAGCACCAGCCCAGACTCTTTTTTTATTAGGCTGCAGTGTGACAGCTCGTCTCTTTGTATCTGGTATCGGAGGTGAGGAGCAGGCTGCTGCTCTGGGAGAAGAGCTTCAAAGAAAAAAGCATCAAACTCATCAAAGAGTTTGATGAGGCAGAGGGGCTGCCTGTCTGGGAGAAGGGAAGGCAAGGGACAGGGAGCCTAATTCTAGTCCCCACAGCTGCTGTATAGGACCCCTGGGCAAGTGGCTCCTGTTCATGCACAGCACAACCCTATATGGCATGTGCAGAGACGAACGTTCCCACGTATGCATGCTAGTACACACAGTAAACATGACAGGCTTTGGAGGTACTGGACCAAATACGTGGTTTTTTTCCTGAAGTTCTGGAGAGAAATATGGGAGTCCTACTCCAGTGGCACAGCAATGCCAGGAGCTGTAAGCCTTGAGGCACCCAGCCTCAGTACACCATCTCTTTTGCTGACTTAGGCTCTTGAGACTGCAGTGAAAATGTGTGGCATGATAAAAGCAGTGAAGAGTGCCTGTGCTCCAGGTGGAGCAAAGACAATGATGGTAAGACAGCACAAGATGAGGAATGCTGTACAAAACAGACCTGGCATCAGTAGTCCAGAGTGCAGAAGCTGATGCTGAAATTTCTGTGCAAATTTAAAGAAATGTACTATAAGGAGTTGAAAGTAAGGCAGACAAGAATAAGAAAGTTTAACTTTTTTAATGCTAAGGCAGCTACACAATAAAAGATTCCAAAAGCTTTGTAAAGTTTTAGTAATTACCTAGAGTTATGCAATATACTTCTGTAATTAATGTTTATTACAGTTTTTTGCCTTAGTGGATTGGGAAATTTCACACTTAGTAATTTCCTTTCTGCAGCTGAATGTGTCAGCTCTGTGGTGCTTAGGGTGGTGGTGGGAGCCAGGGCTTCCCCTCCAGCTGCCCAACAAGAGCTTCTATAAAAACTCTTTGAATGGGATCAGGAAAAGGAACCTTAGGAGCAGCGAGCTGTGACTTGCAGGTGAACAGCCTCAGAGCTGCAGACCTACACCCAAATAGACACGAGTTTTCATGACAGGCCATCTTGTTGCACTGAAGATGTCCTCAGCTGAAGTGCAGGCACTTCTGTACTTGATGACATCAGTAAAGATGGCCAGAATTTTTAGCTAGAAAATGCCCAGTCAGGTCAACCAAAATATTATGAGTTTAGCAAAATAGAGGTGATACTACCACGTGTAAATTATGTCTATTTTTCTGATTAATTTGGTCAAAGATCCTAGAATAATACAACAAATTGAAACATTTCATTTCAGCATTATAAAAATCCACTGTTTTTGTCTTTTGGCTTGCAAAAATAATTGCCAAAAGTTTTGTTTCAGCACTGCCCAAAACAGTTTCTCACCTTCCCTCTCCTCAGTTTCTTGGAACTATTAGGAAAGAAAACATGAGGTATTCTACAGCTGTAATCACCAGAGATCTTATAGAGCATATTTTGACTCCTTCAGCAATAGGTTTGCCTGATGGCTTGTTTGCTTCCACAATATATAACTTAATCCATCTGGCTAGGAATAACCTGTATGGATTCTTGAAAACTCTGGCACTGACAACCTTGTTATTGAAAGGGAAGCATTAATTGTACCTGGATTACCTTCCAAAGTAATTGAGGCACTGCTTGCTTCCAGACAGACTTGAAACTCAAAAGGTCTGCTCTTCCATCTGCTCTTGGTATAGCTTGTAACATCAAGAAGACAGCAAAAAAAATTGAAGAGCCCTGGAATTTCAAATATTCCAGAATTTCTTTGTGATTATCTGCAACAGGGTTTTTGTGATAGTGCTACATGTTATTGTCTCTGGAGCTGAAAACCAGGCTCTGGATTTTTCAAAGCAGTGAAAAAACCCCTAAGGAACCAGACCCCTTGCCTCAGTCCATGTGCAAACAGCAGACCATTAGTGCTATGTACACATCCAGCTTTCTCTGGGCTTACTTCCCTAAAAGTAGAAATCAGGAAAAAATGAGGAGCCACCTACTTGCAAGATTTACCCCATAACTTAAAATCTAGTTTACATAGGTGGTACTTCAGTGCATTTCTCTCTTTTCAATTGGTATAATGGACTGACTGCTGAGATGCTTTTGCTGTGCCAGACTGAAGAGATGGTTCAGACACCATTCTCCTCTGTTAGCCACGTGTCGCTGCAGCCTTCTGGTTTTTCCCTCTCTTTAAGGTCAGTCATGGAAACCACACTTTGCACTGCCCATTTCATCATTTCCACTGTTTCTAGGCATAGGCTCCAACCTTGAGCTTCTGAGTTTGTTCATGAGCCTTCTTCCTCTAGCATTTTTGTGGTGATGATTGAAAACAGGAGAGTTTCTACTTGCTGAGCAGCAAATTCGTCTCCAAAGGCATAGTAAAAAAAACTAGAGGGGACTGTTTTGATTTGGATGTGACATCTGTCACTATCTATCAATCATAATAATTCTTTCTTCAAATAAGTAATGCGTTGTTTAAAATGAGCCTTTGCAGTCCAGCCATGTGACAAGATACTGATCCTGGATGTTAAATTGAATCCAGTGGCACTGTTTGAAAAGATCATCCCATGCCCTGAAAGACAGTCAGCAGATAGCAGTCCTGGAGTCCTTAGCATGACAGCCAATAAAGACATCTTAAACCCTACAAAAGTGACACTGCTCAGCAGTTCTCCAGGTGTAAATAAGGAAGCATCAAAGCCTAGCCCCAGGATATCTTCTGCCTTTTTAGTTGTTGTCATATTTCGGAAATAACTTCTATTCTCAGTGACTTCACTAGTGGTGCCACTGTGACATCCATGGTGGTATTTCTGAAATACAAATTTGTTTGAAACCATGCAACTAGCTTGATGCCCACTTGCATGCTTTCCCTTCTCAAGCCTAGTTGTAGTAATCTTCTTTTTTTTTTTTCCCCAAAAAAAGGGCACAGCAAATTGATCTTGCAAAGCCAGGTTTGCCTATGAGCTTTCATCTAATTCTTTATCTTTCTGTTGACAGTATTTGGTTTACTGCATTTTTCCATTAGAGGTAGATTATTTGCATCCTTCTTGCTAGAGCCTTGAACTACTACATACTTCAACCTGCAGAAAGGGATTTCTTCAGAGGAGTACTTTCCACTCATGATGGTGGAAAAAGCAGTTTGCATAGGCAACTCAGTTTATTCTCCAGAAATAACATGCCCAAACCATCTTTAGTAAAACCCTTATTTAAAAAAAACATGTAATTGTGTGGGTCCTCTGACCCAGAATTTTTGTTTGGTAGCCAGAATTAGATGGATATATCCCGTCTTAGAACATTCACCTGGAAGGTAGCTTCTAGTCTTTATTTTAAATCAAGTAAGTTAAAGGCTGAAACTTAACTTCCTAGATATAGCTATGGGCTGTCTTTAGTTCTACTTTGTGACAAAAAGTTTTTGCTAATTAGAACTGGTAGCTGACAAGCACTTCTAGGAGTTACTGGCATTTTTCTGAAAGGGTTTCAGATGCTTTTCCTGTCTACGAAGAGCTGACCTATTGTAAAGATCTTATTCTTCAGTAAAGTTTATAAAGTCCATCCCTGAAATTCTCAAAAGATCCTCCTTAAATTTTTTATGGCAGAGTTATAACTTCTCAGCAGTATCCAAAATGACAAAGGAGAGGACAAATCCACCAAGCGCTAAACTATGGGAGAACACTGCTGATTAAAGCATCCATTAAACCATTGTGAGAAAGATCCCAGGAAGGAAGATGTTTAACTACAGAAAGTAATGTGGAAGTTACTGTCCTTACTACTAAGTTCCGTTACTGTCAGTCACTCAGTAATCATTTTATGTTGTCTGATTGCAGGCAGATGGAGCTAGAGAGAGACTGTCAGAACAACAGTACAACCGCCTTGTGGAGTACATCACTAAGACATCCTGCCACCTCCCTCCCAGCACCGCCGCGGTGCCAGCAGTGCAAACTGTGGCAACCGAACACCTACCAACTATCATCAAAACATATCAGTATGTAGTTGATCCAAATTTTGCCCAAGTATTCATTAGCAAATTCACCATAGTGAAAAATAAAGCCTTGAGGAAAGGATTTAATTAGTAATAATTTGTGGTGAGTATAAGAATACCTTACCATTTTGAAAGTAATGCTTTCTCTGCAGTAACCTATATCAAGTAGAGGAAATATATAATTTTTGAGGTGGTAGGAGATGATAACAAAGTTAAGCCCAATAGCTTTTCTAATCTTGACAACATTCCTGCTCCCTAGCCAAAATACTAGTGCTGGAAGGAAAGTGTTCAAGCAAATAAATAAAATGAAAAGGAGCAGCCTTGGACTATAGCTCAATCAAAATCCGTTTCCTTTTCAATAACCAAAAATCAGAGAACGAATAAGGAAAAATTGCGTGCATACAGGCGATTTTGCCACACACAAGATGTGTATCAATACCTACTATATCATATTTTAAGGTCTGCCACTTTCTGTTATAAACCAGGTTTATAACTCAGCTGTAAAAACTTGCTCAAGGCTGAGCCTTTCCCCCCACACACACACACTCCCCCCAGCATGTATGTCCTGAGGCAAAACATTTTCCTCCACTAAATCTGAAAAACTCGGCATGGCTGGTTTAAGTTACTAGTGACAGCTGGGTTTTAGCACCACTTTAACCTTAAAATAGCTTCCTTTATTTGACTGAAGTTTTGCAGGACATTAGTCCTTAATGTAAACTAGTGCCTTTGTGTGGTTTGGAGAACAAAACATGAACTACAACATGAATTTATTTTTAAAACTATCTGTATACAGAAACTTTATTTTATCCAGCATCAAATTTTCAGGAGGAGTTTCAATGTATATATATGACATTGTGCACTGTCCTGTTGTTAGTGGGAAGCCAGTAACACGCAGTTCAAAAAATTAAGAAACAGAGCTTAGTCTCCTTAAAATGTACCAAAAATCTACAAGCCTAATGTAACATAGATGTGCAGGTGCTAAGTATGGCGCCTTGCTGGATCTCGCTTACTTCTGATCTGCCACCACTACATAGTATGTGCTCACTTCAGCCCTCACTCATTTTATGCTTATCATATTTAAACAGATAAAACCAGGAATATTTAGAAACATGACCTTTCAAATATGTTTGCACAAAGCAAGCTGATTGAAAAGTATGGACCCACAGGTACCAATTACATTAGTAGATAATGATGCCATCATAGTACGCTTATGAATATGATGTTAAACACATCAAGACAAATGAGCTTTCTAAGTGTCTTATTTTTCAGATGTTTTACAGTTTGTAGTAGACAAAAAAATCACCATCTCTGGGCACAGAGGTTTATTACTTTATAAACCAAATCCAGCTATGGCAGCTTTATTTTTAAAAAAAACCCAAAGCTTTCTTCGTTTTCAACTATGCGTGTTACTTTTCTCCCATTTTCTATGTACTTATGGACATTAATTTTGTCTGGGGATTCCTGAACATGGCCAGAATTGGAGACAAGAACTGGAGTACAATCTGATCATTTGGAGCAGATCTATATGCTTTATAGTTAATAACTTCTATGCATACTTGATAAGACCAAATGCACAGTAAGTAAGAATGTAGTAACTGCAGTTTTTGAGTTTCATTTTGTTAAAAGGTATTTCTAAAAGCCGTGTCTCTTGTGTACTGAGAATACAGAAGCCTGGGATCTGCATTGTCCTTTCCTGAATGTGAAATAAGCCCATCCATTATCAACATTTCCTACAGTGATTTAGTAACTTAGTCATTGTTTAAACAACACTGTTTCAAAAATGTATATGTATATACATGCACATGCTTCATTCCTGAATATTTTATGGAATTAGTTTAATACTTCTAATTTTGCATATTGGTGGATAAATTGTAATATAATGGGATTGTTTAAAGATATTAAAGCTATTCCTGTAATACTTGGTTTTGTGAGCTATTTGGTCATTCAGTTACAAGGCAATTAAGAGGTCACTGTGTAGAACAGTGAGAAGACAAGGATTCAAGCTTCATGTAGACCCCCATCAGATTGCAGTTGGTCACTGGACTTCGTCATATACCAGATGTGATAGCTCGTGACAATACTTTGGAAGTAAAAACTGATTATTAGTTTGCAAAAAAAAAATGTGTGCTGAAAAGTTTTATGCTTTTGTGACTAACTGAATCAAAACAGCACTGCAGTCACCACTCAAATTAGCCTAATCTCTTCATTATTTATGTAGTACACAAACCAGCCAAGAGGATGCAAACTCACCTGTAAAAATGAGGGAAGGAAGCAGCTTAATTTCTAGAAGTGTGTAGACTGCAGCCATCATTTAAGATACATTTGTGTTTTTCCAGAAATATATTGTCCTGGAATAAACGCTTAAATTACACTCTGACAGAGAATTAAGCTGGCATCTTTACTGCATTAGGCAGGTTCTTTCTCCCCCTTCTGACCACATGTATGGAAACATGTGTGGAGACGGCATATAAATCAGCCTCTCCTGCATATGAGCTGTGTGAACTATGAAAACAAAGTTGTCCAAAGAGCAGCTGCCTGTACTTAGCTGCTAAAGCACTTCAATGTGTACTCTTACAACATGCCGACTCTCATAATGTGCTTTAGACCTGGAGAGCTCACAGCTTCAAATCTATCCTTTTAGTTTGCTTCCAGATCAATCAATCATTCCTCAAACACTCAAAAATAAAGCCAGCCAGCCAAAAATTTGAAGGCATGATCAGGTTTATATACAGCAAGACTTTTCCCAAAGTAGTTTAGGTCTAACAATTCCTTTTTATATATTATTTCATACATAAATACAGGAAAAAAATACAGACAGTTGGGATGGTCTCAGAGCAGACAAGCATGATTTTCAGCTCTGCATCTCCTAGAAACAGCATGCCAGACCCTGTAACAAGCAGCTGATTAGGGTCTAACTCACACAGGTCTTTCATGTACTATGCTAAGGCCCACTCCCAATTGTATGCAAGACAGAATTAGCTGGACTCTTGCTGGCAAAGGCAGAAAGGGGAAGGAAAAAAAAAACAAAAAAAAAAAAAGAAAGGGAAATTTGACAGGCAGTCACTAATTTCAGAAAAGGTTTGCCCTTCTACCTAGTCCTGCATTAAGTACCAGCTTTGCCCTCCCTTCCCACTCCAGAGGAAAGCAAGCTGTGGGTTGGTAGGCATTGCCTGCTGAAAAGAAGTACTTGCATCCATTATAAAACCATAATGTCATTATATAGAAAGCAAGTCGTAACCTACAGAGACTCGAAGCACAGACACTGCTGTTAGAGCTCACCTTTCATCAATGTTCATGAACACATTTAGCCAGAGACACCTTCAAGCTCTGCTGTATGGTCAAAAAGCTATCTTTGGTCACAGGACTTTCATTTAAGTCAAGGCATGCTGGTTACTGAAGGAACACCTGCTACAACACTGGCTCCTGTTGGCTATCACTGTTAAGAAGAAACTGGAATCTTAAAGTCAGTTAATTCATCGCAAGTGGGAAGACCAGCGGGAATAGAGCTGCAGCTCAGGTCTACTAGCCTGCACACCTGGCAGCAGCAAGTTCCTGCTCTTCTGAAGCTGTCGGTATGACTAAAGACTCCTGACTCTTTAAACCTGCAGACATGCCTGAGAAAATGTTAGTCAGTACTTAATGGCACATAATGTTTATACCATACATTGGGAAGATAAATGGGTATTATTTGCTATTGTTAAGCTTCAGTTTACATTTACAGGCACAGGGGTATTTTGATTACTATATGGTTTCCCCTGCAGCACTGATGTCAAATTCTCTGTTTGCTTAAAGGAAGCACTGCCTGTGTGGGAAGTTTAAAAAAAAAAAAAAAAAATCCCATGTTGCTCTGTAACAGTGTTCTGGATCAAATACAGTACTTAGGTGCTTTCAGTAGTCCAAATGGTGCTCACAGATACCTATTACGTGTTAAGTAGTTAATGATCCATTTAAAATGATAGAGTTACTCCAAATGGGATTTGAACTGAAGACCTTCAACTACAACACAGATGGCTTAATTTGTCATGCTGCTTCGTACATGGCCTTCCCTCCTTTCACACAATCTGCTTTGACCCCTCCAAGTACTCATGTGCAGCAATCAAGAGCTATGTTCTAAGACTATCTTCCACCTCAGCAACAGGCTGAGCGTGTTCCAACTGATAGGTGTCACAGCAGAAGACAGAGCAATGATCTTGGACTACACAGAATGTAGCAGAGATGAAAACTCAGATATTAGAAAGATGATACATGTCTAGAAGCAGCACAAAAAGCTTTTCATTACTGTAATACCCTAAAATAAGTATTTCGTCTGCCTTTACCCTCTTTCCCCTCGTATATATGTGACCATACCTGCAGTTTAGAGTCATTTTCCAATTAGACTTACATACAACGTATAAGAGTGGGCATTTGCATAGTTTGTAAATCTTGATGTAACTGTTTTCTGCTGCAAAGAAGGCAAGAGTGATGGCAGCAGAAAAAGAAAGGATGGTTGGCTCACATTTTTCCAGAAATTCCTCTCTAAATTCTTTCATCTCAAGGTCACTTCACCTTCTGATGCCAGAGGTAACAGACTTCCAGAAATCCAGCCTCTCCCTTCCTCTAACAACCATCCTCTTGCATATTCCCATCAGCAGCAAAGACAGCCAAGCTGTTTAGAGATACATTTTGTTATCAAATGTGGACTTCGGCCAAAACAGAGATGCAAATAATTCCTGGGGAAAAGAACACCAGACTTTTTCATCTCGAGCAGCTTATGAAGAATTTCCACCACTCCTCCCAGCATCTGAGCATTTAAGCATTTCAACATGAAAGAAGACAGCTAAGCACCACTGACATGTATTTTATTTATTGAGTTACATTAGAGCATGCCATGCACTGAAGTGCATTACACTTTACAATTCAGTGAACAAGTAAGGTTCGGTCATCAAGTCTCCTTAGACTGAAGGGAATCTGCAAGATAAAAAAAAATACTAAGTTATGTTGGACAAACTTCATGTTCAAAGTAAACATATTAGTATGTATGAATGCAAAGCAATAGAGAGAAATGTTTCTGTGGTGGTTTAGTCTAGAGGAATTCCCCCTGTTATTTCCTGATGGTTTAAGATTCACACACCCTTCATGTGGCAAACAGAAGTGAAACATGGAACAAATCAAGAGCTGGAACAATACTGCACAGCACATCAGACTCACTATACATGCTGCACTGGTAACTGAATCAATCTTGCTAAGGGCCAGAAAGAGAAAGGAATGCAGCTTTCAGATAGGAGCCAGAGAGGAAACAAGTGGTGTAGGCAACCTACCAAGGAAGGAAGAAAACCAAATTCAAATTGCTTCTCCACATTACATTGAACACAATCTAAGACCAGCTGTGCTTCATGACAAGAGCCATGCAAGTGGTTAGCACCAAACTCTTAGCTTGCCCCCTTATTCTATTACTGAGCACACTACAGAGGTAGGATACTCCACAAATTTATACTTGCACTTGGTTTCGGTTATCAGTGTTGCCACACAAAGTCCATGCCAAGCAGACAACACAGTGTCAACTCACACTAAGTACCAAGGTGCCCACCTGCCCAGCAAAAACAAACTCAGTGCAGAGTTCCAAGCGAACATCTTAACTCATGACTTAATTCCCTGCCTACTCTACCCTTTCCTCAGTTTTGGGGCTAAGTACTGATTCCAGAGTGAGTACTACATGAGGTTAAACCACTGCACTTACTGCCGCATACAGAATATACTCCAGTAAAATGGGAGATGTAGAGCATGCATGACTACTGTATCCTTTAGGTAACTATACAAAAAGAAAAGCATCAAATTCAACCTCCATCCAACTTCCATAGCTATGATTTAAGCTACTGAGACAAATGAAAATGTCTCCCATCTGTTCTGTGTGCTTGTCTTTTTCAGAGTCTTTTCACAACATTTGAAACACTGGCATTGTTTTCCCCTTCTTCTTCTTATGTATTCATATGCAAGCACAAAAAAAACCCCAACCTTTTTCTACTATAAAGGAGTGAAAAATACCAGTTCTTATATAAATAGGCAAAGGAATAAGAAGCATAAGCAATTCAAACAAAATCACATTTAAAGATTTGTCTTTCACGTTTTCATTTGAGCTGGTGTAATTCAAGAATGGACAAAATGTTTAGGAAACATTTAATTTTAACAGGTGCACACAATATGCAGCTCTTTGCGGTTTTTTTTTTTAGGCTGCAAATGGGAACATAAACTAACTCAGAGTGCAGCTCTATTTGCACTGTAAAAAATCCTGCTCATGATTCCAATTAAATATTCAACATGCATCCTTGTTGACAGTGTTTGTTTCAAATGATTTTACCACCAGATGGCCTTTCAGAATACTCTGATGAAGGCCACCTGACTAAAGAATGCAATTCTTGTATCTAATAAAGTTTAAATGTGCCTATACATTAGCAATAGGACCGAACCAGAGGCAGAATTACCAGGATTAAAAACCAAGTAAATTTATTCTTTCATTATCTTTGTTGCAGTCATAGCTACAAAAAAGAAGTTTCCCGCTCTTACAAAAAGAAACAATAGCAAAGCGACTGCTACTTTTTTTTCTTCTTGCATTTGTTAGAAGAGCTGGAGGTGTAGACTGTCACACAACAGAATTTAGTATTAACAGTGTTAAGCACAAATGTTTTAAGCAAACAGCCTGAGAAAATCCAGCTGGCTGGGATAATTAGAGCCTCAGATTATCACATAACGATCACAATATGAAAACATTTCAAAAGAATGAAAAAGCTATCATTCTAGATTAGTTTGAAGTCATTTTAAGAGAAGCAGAGAACTCAATGTTAGAAATCTGGATCAAGAAGAGGGGATAAATTCTTGATTGAGTTGCCACATCATGAGCTTGTGCAGTTTAGCAAGTGTGCTTATTAATAACTATGACAAGGTTGAAATCAAGACTTTTTTTTTTCCCCTGATGTTACGACAACAAATAAGGGAGAACAAAGTTTGGTAATCTTCAAACAAAAGGCAGTGTTAAGTGCCAGGAAAATAGTATCGTGAACAAAGTTCTATGCAAGCTCAATTTAGCCATCTGAATATTATTACACAGCTGAATGCTGCAATTTTTATAGATGTGTATGTATGTATGTATGTATGTAAATATATTTCCCCTCACTACTAGCTTTCGTCTCCCTCTCACCAACTTCAAAAGACAAAAGGATGTGTGGAAGCTGCCTCTGTTTCTTGCGTTAAGATGCAGGCTATGAGAAACAGCCTCTCCGTTTCCTCATTCACTGTACCACCACAAGTACATCAGCAGTAGACACAGACAGCCCACAGCTAAGCAGTTCGAGATGTGACACCATCAACGTAACAGTGGTATCAGGCAGGTCTTGTACATGGGCTTCACCTCCTCTCCATGCAAAGAGAGAATTGTTCTGAATGTGGCTGCATGAGGAGGGAAAGGCCTGACATTGCTCTGCGCAAGTCTCCTAAATCCCAGAAGTTAAAGACATTAAAGGTACTCAGGAGTTCTCTACTCTGCCCTTACTCCCAGTTCCACAGTTGCCATATTTCTTTGTGTTTTTATTATCCACACATCTCTCGTGTTCAATTTGTATCCCTTTTCTTTAGAAACACCCTTCTATTTGATCAAAATGGAGAACCTCCAAACAGAAGTGCCACGTTTCACTGAAACGATCTAACTCACTCTTGTTCTAATGCTGAGTAGCTTATTACCTGTGAATGCAGGTCACATCATTTGGGCGGTGCAGATTCAAGCACACCAGCTGCTCTCATGGCTTCGAAGTCCTTCATGGGATCATAGTTTTTATAGAACTCTGCATAAGCTCGCTTTCTGGGCTCAGCAACTCCAAACTGGAAAGTAACACATTGCAAAGCTTTATCAACAGATTATTTTTTTCCTATTAGTGCTATGCATTGTATCAGGGGATATCAGTCTAAAAAGCCTTTAGCTCAAATTAGTTAAATAATACTTTGTTCTTGTCCAAATCCACAGTTCAGGCTACCTGAACACCGGACAGGAAAACAAATGTCGGAAGTGAAACATTAAAAAGAAAGTCAGTTACAAGACAGCACGTGACACTTTTAAGATCCAAAAACACTCCACCTCTATTGACACTCAAGTGTCCAATGCTCAGCCTGCTAATAGTTTTATACATAAAACATGCCATTATGGCAAGTGTTGTACCTGTGGGCAGCTGCAAAACCGCAGCTCCAGATAAAATGGAATCCTAAAAATAATGTACTACATTTGAGCTACACTGTAGGTCAACTACAGAAGTCTTGTGAAGTTTTACAAGACTGCCAAGCCAATCTTACAGCTCACTGACATAAAAAGACACAATCCTGACTCCTTGGATTCACCTGAAGCATAGGGATATGCTCAAAAAGCTCTCCAAAATTGTGTCCTACATGGGTTTGTCCAGCAGTATCTAACATGTAACAAAGTAAATCACTACTGAGATCTCTGCTGCTTGTCATAAATACGGTCTGCTGCCCTACTAGTGTGTTAATGTGGGGGTGCCAAATAAGGTATATAACCATAGACTATTAAAACAATTGTATTGTAAGTCTGACCACAAACAAGCTTGCCTACCTCTTAACAGATGTGTTAAGTAGATGCTGAGCTCTAATTGTGCAAGCTTTCTGTTTCTGATATACATTTGTTGATCTCCAAGAAGTTAAGGTTGACAGTGATATTTCCGTGAACAACCTGAAATTGACTTAATTTCTAGTCACTTTTATCAACAGTTTCCTTAGTACTCAAATGCTGCAAACAGTTTAAGAATTACTTTAATGGGCAAACCAAGATCCAGTTCTTGCAGAAGAACTGAGACTGTGTTGCTTGCCTTGTGTATAACATCCAAGAATTATTTAGTAAAGGCACTCAAGAACAACTACCACTCTTATCTTCGTCAGAAGTCTGGTAAGGACCACGAGAAACAAACTCCAATCTGTGGTTTGGTTTTGTTTTTTTTCATTTCTTTGAAATGTAATGCTCCATTTCCACATGCTACTTCAAAAGAAAGGATAAAAGGACCATACTAGCCATACTCACATTATCTTCAGTGGGAAAGACTGGTTTTCCACATTGCTTATGAGCAAGCTTTCTGAAATCAGACTAAAGATTAAAATAAGTCCTTGACAACTCTCTAGATATACTAGAGATATACTAGAGATACTCTTGGATACTGTGACAGAGTGAGACCCAGACTGTCTACAGTTAATGTGCATCTATCGTGTGAATGATTAAGAGTAGTCTAGGACTAAGAGACTCCAGGTTAAGTCGTCATGAATTGCGTGATCTTGATCACATAGCTTAAGGCACTGGGTTATTCATATCATTTCTTCAAATGAAGATTAGCAAGATTTATTTATGTTCTGGAAACATGCTTACAAAAATACATTACTAAAGCTTTCTGATGAACAGCTCAACCAAATCTCAACAAAAAAATATTATGAATACTTAAAACACTCTAATGAGTCCAGTTTATAATTGAATGACTACAGATCTCACCTTGTATAAAGCCGCACATCCCACAGATACAATAAATGCCCCAAATAAGTGAAACTTCATCCTCCTGGCCAAAAGGCGCCGCATTTGTGGCTTAGGCAATAGTGCAGCAGACATGATGACTGTATTTCCTAAAAGAAAAAAAAAAGACAAGAGAATTGTGGGACAAGAAGCTCTACATACACAATTTTCTGTAACTGTACTCTAGAAAGACTCTGCTTTTTGCATTGTTTAAGAATCATCTTCATGACATAAGCAACAGTGCTCCTTCTCTATTTGACTTCTCAATGAAAATACTTAAGGGACAACATTCAAGGACAGCCTATTCATGACATTAATCTAAGTAAGCTTTCATACTCTTTACATCCAGCACTCATGGAATCAAGTCTGGCCTTCACTGTCCATGCTAAATCCTTCTCTCCCTGCAGGTCCACCACTTCAGGCCTGCCATCCTAGCATTTACATCAGAAGACATTCAAAACACACACTTCAGTCATTCCTAAGGAAATGCACATGCTTCTTGAACTAATTTGTGGTTTGGTATTTGGATTGTTTTTTTTTTCAGTAACTGCAAACCCTACTACATTATTTTTTTCTATTCGGTAAGAATTTACTAAAAACCTACGAGGCCTGAAGCAGGCAGCTCTGTTAAAACACAAGTTAGAGGTGCGTTCTCTCAGCACGGAGCGGCTTCGAGGCAGTGCTGTTCGCAGAGTGCTGTTCCCTGTGCAGTCACGGAGGCGGGAGCCAACAACAGGACGTGGCCCAAGCCGTCCCCAATGGCCCCGGTGCCGCCCACGGCCGCGTACACCCACTGCCCCCCCACATTTAAGAGGGGCCCTCGCCAACAGGCCCCGCTACGGCCCTGTCGCCGTTACCAGAAAAAGGGGCCGCAGCGCCGTGGCCAGACTGAGACAATCCCCGCAGCTGTCCCCACCTCACAGAAGGCGCTCCGGCCCCTCGCCGCCCTCCAGCA